GATCATATCAGAAATTAAGAGCTGTCCTGTGTCTAGTGCCGATTCCATGTGTTATCCCAAGGACAGTAATGAGCCCTCCCAAAACTTATCTTGGGACTACAAAATTACTAGCATTTATGCTGTAGAGATGGAAGCATGGGTGGGGGTCGGAGTAGTTTGGCAGGGAGAAAACTGGGCAGGGTGTACAAAACTCAGTCCACAAAAAAAGCGATGTGTTGCCACAACAGTGCCTAGAAGCCAAGTGCACTTTTAGAAGATCAACAGGTATTCTTCTGTAATTGCATAGCCATTGAAAGGTATAAAACATATACATTTCATGAATTGCAGAGACGCATTACATACTTTTTTTGCCCTGGCACACACTAAATTCCAATTCCAAGCTAGTGATTAGGAGACCCACCAAGCAACTCTTCCCTAATTAAGCTTCTGACTGTACCGGCTTTACATTACACCCAATTATTTGTGTTATAGTGTGCCTTATCTGGAGCCAACTGCACATAACATTCATGGAGAGATGAGCCCTTCCTCCAGCACCTTTCCTGTCACCTTTGAAAATTGCAAAGCAGACATTCTTTTCCAAGTTTTACAATTTGTTCCAACCATTCAGCGTAGGTGAGGCTGATGGGCCTATTCTATGGCCCTAAACAGGCCAAACTGTTGATGCAGGCCTAACTCTTAATGCAATAGACATGACAGCCCTCCGATTTGTCAACTTTAAGCTACATCAGGAGGCAATCTAATGTTTGTGAGGCACAAGGAGACACTGCTAGCTGATAGTTGTTGGGAAGAGAAGCAGATAGGTGAAAAAGATTTGCCCAACCACTAATACCTTCCCCCAGTTAACTATCTTTGGAGATGTCTCAGGGAACCTTCCTTTCTTCTCATCATAGGTTAAATGCAAATTATCATACAATACAAGCATGTGTGACTAATGACTAAAGACTAATAAAGACTAATGCTGGAAGTTTCATAACCCATTGACATTTATAACCCTACAAGAGACCCTGTCAATAACTTAAAAATGATGCAGGTAAATAGTAAAAAAAATCATTTAAAAAAAAAAAAAAAAGTCAAATTTAGTCACAGCCCCCTCGCTCCTTGCACATCGTAGCCCTCTCCTCTTCTGGGAGTGTCTAATTATTCTCTCTGTCTAAGCTCAGAACATTTGTCCTTCCAGTCACCTCCCCACATAACCTTTTAAGTAGTTATCACGGGAAGAGTAGGGGGATGCTATAGACTGTCCGTGACAGCTCTGAGGCTGCTGATATTACACCCAAGATGGTGGTGCCCAGTAGCAGTCTCAAAGCTTCTGGATGTACAATCAAGGGCGGAATATCCCATAATCCTATAGGGAATATTGTTGTTGAAAAGAATGGTCTGGTGGACAGAGTCTCATCAAAATGCTCATCTTTTCTCTTTAATTAGAAGGATGAAAAAGTTCAACACAGTTTACTTTATAATAAAGTAGCTCTCATGGCCATGTTTGTGTGAGGCATTAAGGTGTGCGGTAGGCTCTTCTAAAAAGGAGGAAAGGTCATGTAGCGCCAATACTTTTTGCACAGGTGTTCTGAAGGGTTTTAGCTAGAACCTTACCAGATGTTATGCTGTGCCAAGTCTGTGGCTGTGAATCTGCATTCTAATAGATATTTATTGTTTTATGTTAAACTGTATGTGGGTGTCCTGTACCAATTATTATTTCTGGTTCATTTTGTGATGTAATGCTCGGATTAATGTGAGCAACTGAAAATGTGTGTACTCAAATCTGACCATTTTCTTTTTTAAGTATAAAAATGAAAGAGTTGCAGCTCGCATTAAAACGCCAACAGAATTGAAAATGATTTATAATTTATCATTTAAATACTATTACAGCCCCAGAAGATTCATCTCACACAAAAATCCCATTAGGTGCCACACACACAAATGCAAATTATTTTGTTTTTAAAGACACTTAAATTTACACTTCATTTCCTCATTCATATACTTAATTTTCTGTGTTATTAGATTAATGGAAACGTTTTATTTCATTAATAATGTATTCATGCACAAACAAAACTGTCCTTTAAAAACTAGAAAGGGGGGAGGGGGTATACAAACAATTCAAGAATAAAGCTTTGCTGTGTCTAGATGCTAAAATAACAAAGATATACTCACGCAAAGCTCTGAGTTCTCCAGCTGTCACAACGCTACCTCCAGCTTGTACCCCCCTCCCTGCAGGATTGTAATCTTCCTCAGCGTCCTCACATCTATACACCGTTTATAGACGTGATGATTTATAGGGTGTTAGACCGCTGGAGAGGTGGGGGAGAGACTTTGGAAGGACCAGTCTAAGAAGAAGCTGGCTCGGAGCTTTGGTGAGTTTAACTTTTTTTTTTACCCTAGACACAAACATGCACTTAACCCTTGCAGTGCGGGGGTAGCCCCACTGTAAGGGTTGTTAAAAAATTCCTGGAGTTCTTCTTCAAGGAAAAACTCACAAAAAAAAAAAAGTGGGCTGCCATTGCTGAAAATGTTAGTTGCCTGCCTATCTCTATTTTTTCCAGTCAGACAATCATGTTGGGTATTGACTAACATTGTAGCCATGGAACAATAGGTAAACTGTCTAGTTACCAGCAAATAAATAGTAAAGAATGGTCAGAGAAGGGAAGAATCGCTTCCCATTGCAGATATCTTTATAAAAAATAAAATTCCTTAAATATGGAAAATCCCTTTTAGACGTGAATTATTGAAGACACTTTATGTTAAAGCCCAACTCCAGGATTAAGGTCTTCTTCTCTGCTTAATTACCTCTTCCTATGCACACATTCACTTATGTAACCAGCTATTTCACAGCTATACATGTCTACCAGGAGGAGGGTCTGCACAGTAGAGCAACGTCACTACCAAAATGTCCCATGATTTCTGTCCTGTTATCTGTCTGTGGACAGAGTCAAAGGAAGAAAGAAAGGGGAGAAAGAGCCAGAACAGGACAAGCAGTCTGCAGAGACCGGCTTTAACATAACACCGCTCACCTACTTCAAATTGGCATGTTTAGGTCTGCAAATACAGGGACTTCGTTTGACATTTTTCCAACCGGCTCCTTTGATCTGATCGAGGCATGCTGGCCGGAAGGGTAATGACAGTGACGCCCACTCTGCACATTTTGGCTGGTTTACGAAGAACCCGGTCAAAATTTGCATAGTGTATGGCCAGTTTAAGAACTACAGGGGGGCTGTTATGGGAATGGTCCTCATGAACATGAGAAATGGTCAAAATTCTTCGGCCTTTGTGGCAGAAAATTAGCATTCCTGAGGAAGGAACCTGATTGAAAGAGCATTTTGCTGGGTGTGTTGACAAGATCCGTACAAGGAAAGAACATCTGAGAAAGGTACTGAATTAATTCTGCACAGTCCAAATTTAGATTTTTGCCTGGAGTTGGGCTTTAAGTTTTGGTTGATATAAATGTCAGTCCACTGCAGGAATAATTTTAACTTCCTGTCATCAGCCGATTTTGAAAACAACATCAGACTCTACAGCAGAAAACTGCATAAAGCATGTAGCATTCCACACTGCCCTGTGTCTAGACACTGGACATAAGCATTCAAAATGGCCTTGCCCACAATGATTTTAGATGACATTTTAACATAAATCTGAAAATGAGTGTCAAAAGCATCTAGAAACAGTTCTGTACACGGATGTGTCCATTTTTGACAACTGTTTATGAGCAATCACGTTCAAGAATTACATTAGTTATACGCCAGTATAAGAAAACATTAAAGAGGAACTCTGGGCAAATTACAAATTAACCCTAAGCACTGCAAGGGCTAACTGAAAAAAAAAAGATATACTCACCTGATCCTCAGTCCCGCCTGGCTGCTAGCCCGGTGCCCCCAGCCCCTTCTTCCAAGGGCTCCAGCGGTCTAAGCCCTGCTGGCGTCATCATGTCTAATGCAGGTCCATTGACTACCACTGGACATGAGGATGCAGAGGGACATTCCACATCCAGAGTTGAGGGAGAGAGAGGTGATCAGTCACTGCTGCAGGATTGAGGAGCGGGTGATTGTATCTCTTAATTTTAGACTCGACCAAAACGAGCAGTTAACCCTTGCAAGGTGGGGGTAGTCCCACTGCAAGGGTTAATTTGTAATTTGCCTGGAATTCTTCTTTAAAGTTTATGTAGAGCCCAAACTTTTTTTATAGCTTTGGATAGCATGGCGGATGGTTAAAACCCATCAGTTGCTTGTTTGCAGTGTCCCACTGAGAAACAAAGTAAGGAAATCTCTAGTGGAATTCCACTCATACGGTTATCACTGAAAAAGCCGTCCCCACTGAAAAATTTACCCACACCTCTGGTTCTGATGACAACGCTAAAATATTCAATTTCCCCTCATATTCAGTCTCTGCAGAAATGGCCGCCGGGAGGGAATTTCGCCAGTAGACACAGGAAGCCCTACAAATTAGCAAGGGTTCTAACTCTTCCCTACCTAAAAAAGGTTTCGGCTATACATACACTTTCAGGTAAAATTCAGACAATTATGACAAATGTGTGTGTTGGTGATGAAAGAGCTCAAATATATAAATATCTTGAAGACACTAGATGCCATCAACAGGTCAGTAATAGCATTTTCTATTTTCATATTGAGATGTTCAGCAAACGGCAATGAATGACTCAAACCAGGGAATGCCCATTTATGTTTTTTAAAACTACAGAAAAAGATCAGACATCTGTCAGGCACCGAACCAATCAGCCACTTAATCATACCCTTGAGACTCAGAAGAAATGTTTTATTTTATTCAGTATGTGAAATGCTGCATGGTCAAGTGGTTTATACCTGGTCATAGATACCCTTTACAAAGCTGCAGTGTCTCTACTGGCATATAACAAAAATGTGCTGAAGGAGAAAACCCCAAAAATAGTAGCCTTACACAGCAACTACACAAAACCATCACATTTGTACTAGCTGTACTTCAAGCTTTTATAAACGTTTAACATGCGAGTGATAAGGAATAAAATCTCCACTTACCAATCATGTGGTTTGCTACATGGACCTGAATATCCCATTCATTGTAGAATACCATCTGGCACTTGATGCATTGATAAGTCTTTTTCTGTGGGAAAAAAAAAATGCATATAAGAAAGAATATATGTCACAAGTACACTATTAAGACAAGAAAAAAAAGTATGTGCATAAAAATAATCAGGAGAATTACAGCTTAAGTGAAAATGGTATACTGCAGAAGAGACAAAACCATAAATATTTGATGACTGTAGGGCCTGTTCACACGACGTTCGTTTTCTGTGCTGACCTGATCCGTACGCGCCTGCACTAAAAATTTATCCCAATGTATCCCTATGTGTTTTATGGGCTACAGTTCTCACGTGCACAGTCCGTTCAGGTTACAACAGAAAAATACTGCATGTCACATTTTGTACGGTCAGCAAACGGTCCGGAAACGCAAAGCGCATCAAAAACTGCAGCTAACATACTGACAGCCCCACTCCAGCCAAAAAACAAAAAAAACTGAAACGCATCAAAAACGTGGCAAAACACATGGCACCGCGTCTGCTGATCCGCACCTGATCTGGACCTGAAACTCATGTGAACAGGCTCGTAAAGTGGTCTTAAAGGGAAGCAAATTCTTTAGATATTTAATTAGTATTTTAGTTTATGAAAAAATGTATTTCTATGCATTGTTTCTAACAGTCTAGTAAAAAAGAAAGTACACCCTCTTTGAAGTATATGGTTTTAAGTATCAGGACATAATAAAAATCATCTGGTCCATAGCAGGTCTTAAATTGGGTAAATACAACCTCTGATGAACAACACATGGAATATTACACAGTGTCATTTATTTATTTTACAAATATACAGCCAAAATGGAGATGCTGTGTGTGAAAAAAAAAACTATGAACACCCTTCCTGCTTCCATAGGATTTAAGAGGCTAGATAGCAACCAGGTGCTGCTAATCAAATGCTCTTGATTAATTGATCATCAGCAAGTGTGACCTGCTCTATAAAAGCCTAAATGTTTTTTGGCAAAACCAACAGTTTGCTTGTCTGTAACATTCAGGTGTGTGTTAACACAATGCCAAGGAGGCAAGACATCAGAAATGATCTTAAGGTTCCCATACACCTTACAACCATCGCAAGACTTTGGTCTTGCGAGGGTCGTGAGCTAATTAAAAGCTCGTACTATCTGCTCATCTTGGACAGGCAGATCGTACTTGCGGTCATCGGAAGCCCGCCCCCCTGCTCTTGGAAGGAGTTATGCAACTATCAAAATGCCTTGGTGGGTGGATGTCAGTCTGGACAAGTGGGCATTTCTAGGAGGACTGCATTTGCATGCAGACTGCCCTAGGTAATGTCCACATGTGATGTTTTGCCCCTGTAGCCCACCCTAACCCCCAGAGGCCTGAGGTGGACCCCAAAGGGTAGGGAGGGCTGACATTTCACTCTCAGGGGCAGATCCTTAGCCAGTGAAGGGATATGCGATCAACAAATAGGGTGCCTGTCACTTTAAGTGCCTTTTTAAAATGCTTTATTGAAGAACAGCATAACTGGGAGAGAAGATATAGGGCTTCAGACATCCATAGCAAAAACAGGCACAGACTCCAGACTCCCCAATCCCTTCAGACTTCCACAGTGCAGAATTACTAGGATACCAGGCTGACACTTTACAGTAGAACAGCAGCTGAATAGGGATGGGCATGAGATCTTCCTAGGGAGACACACCAGACTTGTTCCTGAGGTCCATGCTATCTCCAGTCACCTACAACAGTCATAAGGCTCCTCTGGTTCTCCTCCCCAGATAGTGCCAGACCCCACCTGGGTCCAAATGCGGCCTCCTCCAGGCTTAAGGCTTAGTCAGCTTCTCCAAGCCCGGGGGGTGGACTGAACCAGAGCACATGGCAATCCATGAGTATTTATGCACTCCGCCAGCATGCACTACTGGCGCATGAAACTCCTATTGATTGGCTGGAGAGGCATATACACACTTGAAGCCCTCCTATTGGTTACCCCACTCTGCAGCAGGGTCACACCCCACTCAGGTAGATGCAGTTAATAGCAGCACACCTGGAATTAACCAGATAATGGACACCAACTAAATAGAGATACAACATTTTAGTAGCCACTCCACTGAAGGTGGTAGAAGCTACACTTCCATGATAAAAAAAAATTAAATCCAATGAATAAAGGTTCTGGCCAGGAACAGCAAGACTGGGGAGGAAAGAGCTGGATGTCCTCCAGTCAAGAAATAAGGTACACTCTTTTTGCTTGCAGCAGACAAGAAGCTTACAGTAGGCAGAGAAATCAAAGCAAGTTAGTAGAAGAGAGGAACCTGTACAACTGTGTAAGACTTAAGGTATAGCTGAACAATCTGATTAGATGCAGGCATTGTTCAGGTATGTTGAGAGCCAGCGGGGCCGACTAGCAAGATACTGAAGCTTGGCCCAGTGGGAGATGCCCCCATCCACACAGTTTAGCATAGATGGAGGAATCTGTCACACTTTTTCCATCTGACCATTGGCTGATAGCACAAAATCCATAGGAAATCTATAGGTGTATGGCCAGCTTAAGGCTCGAGTTCTGCTTTAAGGCTTTGGCTGTAAGACTGATTGCAGCATTTGTTTTTCAAACTGCTACTATACACTACAAACTATTTTTAAAACAGCCGGAAATCCAGATTAGTCAAGTAGATTTTAACTATAACGTTTTCAAAACTATGATGAAGAGCAGATTACATTTTCTACAAAGAAAAAAAAAAGGAACCAAGCCAATTTTACATCAACTGGTTATCTTGTTTAACTGCCTAATAAAATATAGTAGAGCTCTTTGTAACAAATCGAAAATACATTTGTGATGAAGTAATGCAATCTGAGTCCCCTTAGATTTGTGGAGTAATGTTTTAGAGGTTCCATAGAAAAAAACGTTGATTATTTATTGGAACCAAATCTACATTTTGCTCCTTAAATTTGCCTAGCTTGGGAACATATTTCAAAGATAATATCATAGAATCAAGATTCAACTTCAGTGCTTATACAGCACCAACATAAAGGTTTATATGTATCAGACCCAAACCTTAGCTTATAAAGTGTGCACTGTGTCTTGCAAAGTCTAAAAGCAATGATAAAGAAATTGTTATAGTCTAACTCCAGATGTTTTCATTTTTAGTTTTGGATACAGTCGGGAAGAGTTAAAATTTGCCAGATTTTTATTTGTTAAAGATTTTTCACTCACTTACTACCAAAGAGACACTTGAACAAAATGAGGGGGAGGTGGTTGTTACCAGGATGGAAGGCACAGCTAGTAAGAACAGCTAGTAATAAGAACATTGTCAAACATTCCAAACTGCATCCTACCAAAAAGGTTTTAATTTAAGAAGCACTCAGAGGAAAATTAACAACTTTGTTTGGGAAAACTGCAGAACAAGACTATCTCAACATACCTGGTACCTCCCAATACTAGGCAGGGTCCTAAATATAATAAAATACTATCTGGCCTCTCAGCTGGCACAATTTAAAAAAATATGATGCCACCATAGAGATAACGCTCTTCATAGGGCTCAAATCTATATATATTGATCTCCTTTGACTTTTACTTCAAGCTAGACCCAACCCATTCCATTTGATGGACACTCATTAGAAATATAAGATAAAATTACATTTTCAAGTAATTTCCTTTAAACCCCATCTTTCACTCTGGGACTTGAATCTCATTATCTCCATAAGATATAAGGTGTTTGGAAATCATACCTTATCCACCTTGCAACAAAAATACTCTCTACCACACCAAGAAATACTTGGTTACCCTCATGTAAAACATTTAAACCATAATAAAGTGCCTATGACACCTCCACATCCTTCGAATCCAAATGACAAAATCACCAACACTCCCAAGGTATGATTTTTGCTTTACAATATATAATTTACTACACGCCCTCCCACTTACATGGGGGGGCGGCAGAAAATCTAGGGAAAACTATAGAACCAGAAGATTTGAACCAAAGTTGGGAAACCACCAAGTCATGTTCTAATGTGCATGCAATTGAGACAAGCTACGTTGGTACCTTGTGCCAACACGCATATCTAAATATAGGTCTGGGGCCTCTCCTAAACGCTTTCGAGGATGCGATGCCCTAGGTACTTTCCACCACACCTGGTTGTCGTGTCACTTTGTGCATGCACTTTGGTCCAGTACCTAACAAATCATATCTAAGGTGACACTTATACTTAATTTAAGTTACTGTCAGCCCTATTTACAGTGACAAAACAATCGCCAAAGTGTAGCAATCCCAGACGCCCAGGAAATTAGGTCCAGAGTATGGGCTATATTGAATTATTACTTACTGTCAAATTGACGGACACCATGGCCAAACTGTTTCCATTCAAACTTTGATCATCGTCAAATCCTCAACTTTTAACAACCAGCTATCAATACTGGACTTGTAGTGCCACAATCCCCCCTACCTAACATTATGATACTCTCCACAAAATATTTTTTCATGCTAGATGTTGGGGGTTTTTTCTCTTCAAATTGCGAACAATGGGAGGAATTAATATTTTTTTTTATGCATCCTTAAGGATACCTAAGAATAGGGTTTGCTGGTCTCATCACCTGCCCTTATGGTTTAGTATTCTTTCTCTGTTCAAATATCTATGCAGCAAGACATCTTTTTTTGTGCACACCTCTCAATCAGTCTTCTTCATCGAGAAGCTAGGATCAAGAAGACACCTATTTAACTTGCACCTTTAAAGAGAAAGCCAGCTATGGCAGTTCTTGTATTTCTATCATCACATAATGCAATAAATAACCTTCTATATTCATGATTTACTTTTTAAAAAAAATAGAGAACTATTTTGAATCTTGGAATAAATGAAAATATGCCTTTACAACTAGCTGACTCAAATGGTGTAGCTCTGGTTACATACAGCTACATCTGTCGCTGCATAATATATTTACCTGACTCACTGAAATGTAAAAGGCTGTGTTTTTTTAAATATCTTACACAGACAGCCTACAGCAGACACAGTCTTGAGATGCAATATATTTTTTCTCCTGCATGCCTATTAATACACCTCAGTGAGTTACAAAGGAGATCTATAGACACATGTGACTGCAGGCTTAACTTGCCCTGCTACCAGCAATCCTGAAATCATCAATTTAGTGAACAGCTTTTCTCCTCCCCTCAATTACTTTGAATGTAGAACACTATCAACACTTGATATTGAACCATCTACAGGGAAATATCGTCTTTCCTGAATTTTCAATAAGATGTAATCCCTCAGAAAAAGAGGATTTCTGAGGTGAGGGCCCAGATCAATTTTGAACAAAAATTGTATATGGTAGAAATGTACAGTGAATCTTCAAGGGCTTAATTAAAACAACCAATACTTTGCTACGCGGCTCAGGAAGAACACCAAAGTGCGTGGGTTATGGTGAGCTAAGGCTTGACATCGGGAGTGAAACCACCAGAGGCCCAACCAGACTGACCTGCAGTGACAGAGAACTTAAAAGAAAAACAGCTATGAAAACACGGTTGATATTATTTTCATATTCCACTGATATACCATAGGAAAAAAAATGAACTTCAATGAAATTCCCATATTTCACAGAGGATGTGACCTTTACTATGTTGTGGTAAAATTAAACTAGGAAAGTGATGACTATGTGTCCCTTTAAATGTCAAATGTGGATGTTGCTCCTTTTTTATTGCGATAGAATCTGCAGCGCTCTCCACAAGATTAAGTTGTCAAAGAAAATGATCTGTGTATCTGTGTGAATTTCATCTTGTTGCAATGTCTATTGCAATATGCTATATGTAATATTTATAACTGTAGTACATGTAAGTGGTGATTTTACGCTCTCCTCTAAGCAAGCATAGTGATGCAGAGACTCCCCAGGCACAATGCTGCTTCCAATTTACTCCGTTCAGACTCTTCATTTTATGTGGTACTGAAAATTACAAAATAATAAATTAAGCCCTTTATCTTCTTCAGGTCATGCCTCATCAAAGCAAAGTCCAGTGAAGCAAAGGCACACCACAACCATCAGCTCCCTACTGACCGTGTGTGCTGGAATTGTGGGGTCTGTAACCCTTTCATGGAAAGAAAGATTTGCCTGTAACAAGATTGTTGAGTAGACTGAAATAATGAGAGCCTGTGCAAATACAAGGCATTGTTTAGGATGCACTTTTCAACTCTACCCTAGCTTTTAATTATGTGACAGGGGTTTAGATTGTTTGCACTGGGACCCTTATCAGTATAAGGCACCTAGTACCAGCAATTTTCTTTTAAATGATTTGAACTTTAATCTATTAACATAAATAGACTCAACTGATGGCACACGGTGCAGTGGTATGCACAATTGTACAACTTCAATCACAATGTAAATTCACAATGCACATTATTACATTGTTAATGCATCGCAATCAATTTAAAGAATTACCCTCTTTCTTTCAGATAATACTCGGGGGTTTAATGCCAGTACTTTCTGTCTTATGGTGATAAGAGGGAGTATCATTTAAACAGTGTTCCAGCATGAGGATCATTGCAGCAAAGAGTTATATTTCAGTGTACTGAAATCTCACCAGTTAAAAGATATAGGCTTTGAGTTATTTTTTTTAACATGTGCAAGATAAAGGTCAGTAAGATTTAAAGTGGTAGTAAACCACCAACACAAAAATATGCAATAGTCCCACTGGAGGAGTTTGCCGTAATATACTAGTATGGACAGCATATTAGCACATGAAAGACTTACTTTTCAGACAATCCCCCCTGCCCCCCAGCACTGTGATGTGAGCACTTTCTTCCACCACTGGCGCTTCCATCTTCTCTCATACTTATTCCAAGTTCGGCATCTTTAACTTCTTGTCTGGCCTGTATGTAAAACCTGTGCATGAAGACAGGAGTTCCTTCATCTCGGCACATGATCTTGCCAAGCTTGTGCACTGAGCTGCGCATGCACACAAATGCTGACAAGGGAGGAATAATTATGACAGAAGAGACATATGGAGTCTTTTCTGTCAAAATAACCTCCATTAGAATCCTGTAATCTGAGGGTTTTTTTTAGACAACTTTACTTTGGCTTGAAATCATCTTCTGTCAAGGTTTTGGAAACCTTGTTTATATTTATAAATAATTATTAGGGCCGTTCCTACCTTATTCAATGCCTGAGGTGGCCAGTAGAAGGGGGGATCGATGGTTAAGCCAAGGTGTCAGATAGGCAAGAAGCTGTGGGCAACCGAGCTGTTAGCCGGGGGTAGTACAGTTAGTCTGCTACCACCCCCCACACACGCTTTCTGCCCCCCAATCAGATGCCTGATTATGGGGACGCCACTGTACACATTCACATGAAAGCGTCATATTTGCCTATTACATAGACAAGAGGTAGACAGGCTCTACCTCTTGCTTTGCAGTGTGAAAAATGGTTCACAGCAACCCCTTGCAATGCTATTTTAAGAGTTGGCTGACTCACTGAAAACAATACACAACATGTGTGGCTATTTGCCCCCACTAAAGGCTAATTTACACATTTCTACATTTAGAATAACACAAAAAAAAGGGAAGAACATGAGTACTGTAGAAAGAAAAAAGAAAATAAAGTGTGGCTGCTACAACAACTATTTGTGGCCTTTTTTTTTTTAAGATGAAAAAAAACAAAACAAAAAACGAGAGTATATACGGTATACATACACACACCGTATAGATTAGAAATGGCGTGAGATACAAACGTGATGCATGGTCACTAGGCAGTTGGGTAGCAAACCTGGCCCCTCCCAGATCAGAAAAGAACTATAAGTGCCCCCCCTTTTAAACCCCAAGAGCAAAAACCAATTACAGTTTTGACAGTGGATAATCTTTTCATCAATTTAGCTTAAAGATCTATGCTGTTCACAGGCAGGACTCTTCACACAGATTGTTGAACAAAAGTAACCAATAACGAATGATCCAGCTGATGTGCTTATAAATACAGTACAGCCTGACCCCCAAGGCACATTAAGTTATGACAGATCAGTTATCTGCTCTTATAATGGGATAATAGGGTATTCTGCCCTACATACTTATACCTGGTAGCTCTTCATATATGGGAGGCTTGGCACATGCAGGAGAATCGCGACACCTATAGCCATATATTTTAAAATAGAATAAAGGTACTCCAACCTCAATTGTGAAATAATGTTTTAGTATTTGGTAGGGGAATATCTTTCAGACACATACATTTTGATTTGTTTATCTTCAAACATTTTTTACCTTTAAGACCTCACCACCTCCAGTGCCATTAAAACAGAAAAAATTGTCAAAATAAGATCTGTTTTAAGCATCACAAAAATATAATAAAAAAATACAGCGATCTTGGTTTCTTCATTACAGAGAGTATCAGGGACACAAAATAATGAAGAGGCCCCATGGTACCGTCACCCTCCCACACACATCTCACTCCATTTCTTTAACAACCCAATTTAAAAATGTAATTTATAATATATAAAAGAATTGGAGAAGACATGTAGCTTTGCTGAGTGAGGCACAGCCCATCCCTGCATTGGTCACCAACATTTTGGTGAGCATGGTGGACACCCAATAATGAAATATTCAAATTAAAAAGGGCCCTCTGCTAGTACACAGCCACAAAAAAGTTGTGAGCACCAAATTAAATAAATGCCTACAATGAACTAAAAAACAAATTGAAAACTCTGCGCTGCTCCAGGTCACCATAATTGTTGGTGCACAGTTTTGCAATTATGATGGTTAATTCTGTTTGATTTGCAGGCTTTTAAAAAGCCTGGGTGGTTGGGTGATGATGTCCGCTTTGTGGTTTGGAATCAATTCTATATGATGCATGGTGCTTGAGACTTGCAGACTAAGATTTTTGATTGTATAAATGTTTATGGTTAAATGTATGAGAAATGTTCAAACTAAAGATTTGAACCCCCCAAAAGTGCAATGCCCAAAATGTTTTCACATTCATATGTTTGGTGTTTTATTATTTTTTATTTGCGGTTATAGATTGTATTTTAGGGTGTGGTGATAGGGGGGTACACGTGTAACGTGCGATAACCGTTTGCTGCATGAATAATCAGTCGGAGCTGTCTCCTCCCTATGTTAAAAGCCTATTGGTGAAGTACAAAACAAAATAGTCCCTTAGTTCTATAACCATTCTTGATTAGTTACTTCATCTATTTACATAAGTTTTATCTGTATCAAATTGCAATTTTCTTTTTTTTAGAATGATCTTATTCTGTACAGATGGTTACATCCTATGTCGGTGAAACAGTGGACGGCCATGGATAGGGACATGAATGTTGGCAGGTGTAGTAGTAGACTGGAAAAAAAGATTGCATCAAGTTAGGATTTGAATGTACTGTGTGACTGACCAAAGACCTATACATCTTTTAACATTCTTGAAAATGCAGTGGTTTCTAAACATACAAAAAAAAAACAAAACACACACACATAAAAATGTTACCTCTTCAGACTGAGATGGACTGATCCTGGGCATTGGTGAGAGCTGTGGTGTTTTCAGCTGAGCTGTGCTGTTTTCAGATACAAGTTCTCTGTGAATAGTCTGAATATGATTTTGAAGTTCATTGTCCGATTCAAATTTAACATTACAAGTAGAGCATCGGGTCTTGAGCACAGAACCTTTATTTTTCCCTTCCACACAGGGCTGACTTTCAGTCTGATTAATAGGGGGTCGATTTGTGTTCAAAACTGCATTAGCAGTCGGACTGGCACTTTTGCTAAGATTAACACAAATGGCACACAGACCGTAGGGCAACCCATTGATATCAAGCTTCACCAAGTCCTGTTTGGAGCGAAACTCTTTCAGACAAGAAGCACACTTAAACAACTTCGGCGGATTATGAGATCGTACAGTGGCCTGAACAGCAGATCCATTTCCTGTCTTCTGCATATGAAATGTGCCATGGATCTTAAGTTCCAGGGTTGAAGTCACGGTCTGCATGCACACCACACAGCGAAACCCTGTGAGTGAGTTTCTCAGATCTGGGTGCATCTGACAATGTTCTAGGAAATCTTCCTCACTATGCAGAGGAAGCTTACATATTCTACAACTGCCAGTGTCCAGACTCTTACTGTGTGTCACTTTGTGTTCTGTAAGAGTTAACAGGGATGGGAAGCGTTCTCCACATATTGGACACATGTAATGCTTTACTGGCCCCAAATGAGTCTGCATGTGCTCTCGCAGACCACCTTCTGAGAAAAAAGTACGGGCGCAAACATTGCACTTGTAGTTGCCCTTAATAAATTCAGCCTTCTTTTTCACAATTGCACTTTCTCCAGGTCGGATATTGTGATCTCTGAGCTGGTGATTCTGCAGAAGAGAATCCATTGTGTAGGCAGCTCCACAAATGTCACAGCCATACATTGTTTCAGAGGTATCAACGTCTTCTTCACTGCCATCATGACTGTTATGGGACTCTTGATTGTTTGTTAGCAAAGTCTGAAGTTCCACTTCTTCTTTCTGAACCTGTTCAGACGCTCCATTGCTCCCACAATTTTGTGTTTTGGCTTCAAATACACAATGCTTTTCCCGCAAGTGCTTTTCCAGCAAAATTATGGCATGGAAAGCTTTGCTACAAAATTTGCAATTATATTTTTTACTGTGAGTTGTTATATGGCACTGTAGCTCTACTTCAGTGCCAAAAGATTCACCACAGAAAATGCACTTGTGGATCTTTCCCTGGTTTTCCAGGTGATTGTGCTTTACATGGAGCTGTAAGTCAGTCTCTGTGCGGAAATCCCAATTGCAAGAAGTGCAGCGGTATACTTTCTTTTCATTGCTGTGTTTCACAGCCAAGTGAAGCTGAATAGAGACTTTGGAGTCGAACACCTCCTGACACAGGGTACAACGAAAGAAAACAAATGTATGCATGTCTAATAAGTGCTTCTGTAAATCATCCACTGAAGTAAACTGTTTATCACAGCTTTCACAAATATAATATGTAGACGTGATCATAAAGTGTATAGTGACATGCTTCAGAAGAGATTCTTGGTTAGGAAAATCTTTGTTGCATTGAGGGCATGTCAGTTTTGGCAGAACAGTATCAAGATGAGTTTTTAAGTGAGTTTGAAAACCATCAAGGGATGAATACTTGGCACCACACTGATTGCAGATGTACTCGCCTGCAGGTCTTGAAGGAGTGCCACCAATGGTCTGCATCATCTTTAAAGAGGATTGATCCAAAGTAACAGGAGATAAGGGACTCAGAGCTCTAGATTTCTTTCCGTTGTGGATGTAATTCAAAGCCAGAGGAATATTCTTGTGATTCTCTTTGATGTGCTTATTTAATTTAAGTACACTATTAAAGATTGGAGAATTGGTGCAGTAAGAACAAGAGTATACTTCAACTACAGGGTCCTTTGGGGTACCCAATACAGGAGAGCCAAAACGAGAACCACTGAGGTCACAATGAACTTGGCGAATGTGCTCCTCTAGCGAGGAGTCTGTGAGAAACCCCATGTAGCAGTGGGGGCAAAAGAATGCATTACTATCCTTTGCAGCAGGATTTGCAAACCCATGTGAACCTCTGATGTGCTCTTGGAGCATGTTAATATCATTGAATATTTCAGAGCAAAAGTTGCACTGATACACCATGGTAGGCATAGTGGATACCATCAGTGCTGAATCCTGAGCGTCATGTACCTGTTTGAGATGTTCATTTAGATTGTAGAGAGAGGGCAAGACTTCTAAGCAGTACTGACAGATATGAGCCTGCTCTGGCTTATCTAAATGCATAGTTTTAAGGTGTATCTGGAGAACAGCCAGGCTTGAGAATAATTGTTTACTACAATAGATACAACTGTAAGTAACTTTTGCTTGTTTATTTGAGGGAGCATTGACATCAGGAGTTTGCTGAGAAGCCCTTTTACGCCCACGAGTTTTAGTTATTGGGGGAGCTACGTCTACCATTGTGGAGCTATCAACAGACAAGTTTGAATCAGGAGTAGTACTTGATACAGAAGTGTAACCTACAGTAACTAAAGATGGACTGTTGCTTGGGTTGCAAGATTCTGGATGCTGATGGCTATCCATATGGCTGTAGAGCTCCTCAATACTGTGAAAATTCTCGGAACAAATATTACAAGAATTCTTCTTCTCATTACTATGCATTTGTTCCATGTGGTTCAGCAAGGAGGTTTCTTCAACAAAAAGTTCATGGCAGTATATGCACTGGAGAGCACCTCTATCATCATTTGGAGAACATTCAGGGTGACATTCAGCTATGTGTTTCTGAAGATCCTCTGGAAAGTCAAATCCTTCCTCGCATTGACTACATTTTTGTGTGTCCTTCATTTTCCATTCTTCCATTCTACTTCCAGATTGTGAACAATCTTTATTCCGCTCATGAACCTGCATATGACCATGCAAAGAACTTGAAGACAAGAACCCTCGTCTACAAATGGCACATTTATATGGCTTGTTGGAGGTATGAGTCTTCAGGTGAATTTTGAGATGATCACTTCTGGAAAATGCTGCATCACACTCACTGCAGTGATATTTTTTATCTCCAGTATGAAGTTTTATATGGCGGTCTCGACTTCTCTTGTGCTTAAACAATCTACTACAATATGTGCACTTAAAAGGAAGTTTGTCACTGTGGCTTTGCTCATGGTGTTTTAAATAGCTGAGGCGACTGAATGACTTATCACAAAACTGGCAAGGATATGGCAGTCCTGGTATTCCCTCATCTTCACCAAAGTCGCAACCTTCTCCGTGACTTGGGGATGTCTGATCTTTGCTAGATGGTGAGGATGCAGGCCATGAACAAGATGGATCATCTTCTACATCTGCGCCATCTGAAAGAAAAAACAGTGCATGTCAGAAACCAGCAGGAAATGTATTTTTTAATGTCAATTTTAATTGTCAAAGTCATTAACCACTGTATGGACATTCTTAACAGCCAATTGCATTCTGGTATTTTGGAGATGAGAACACTTTACCCAAAATATTTTTTTCGTTTAACCTACCAATACATACACAATATTTATTTTAGTAGGCTTTGATAGACGCAAGTTTTCTTAAAACCACATTTACACATATAGAACCAGAAAAGTTTAAACCATTTTTAATAGAATAAGTAAAGGCACATTAGGATAAAGTGGTGAAGGGCTACAGCCTCTGATTTTTATTGCGGTCTGTGTCCCCAATAAGGAGATAAACACTAATTATCCTGATTACCATCACCTGGAATTAAAAAAAAAGTGAGCGTAAAGTGAGGGTAAATTCAAAATTCTGAGTTGTCACCTGAACAGTAATATTTGGGGAAATCTAGGCACACTTGTTGCCATGACAACTGTCTAAAAGTGATTTCCCCTCACATTGGAAAGATATTCTCTCCGGGTTCAGTTATAAGATTTAATACCTTTAAGTATAACCATTTGGTCTAAGGTTGCATACAAACAAAAGGAAGAGAAGAATAAAAAGGAGAAAAGAGGGAGGGAATATTAAAGTTGTTTTAATATTTAAGTAAAGCACGCTTTAAAGAACCTTGGTCACTTTAGAACTACTGCGTTTGAACCGATGTTAATTTTCTACAGTATCTCTGTGACAAATTGACATAGACACAAATAAAAACATAGTAAACATGGGGAGTTAGAACCTCTATTAGGTTTTAATTGTAGTGGTCATTCTTACCAGGGAGATTCTCCTGACTTCTGGTACTAAGGACAAAGTAAGGTTGAATGTTGCCATGGCTTTGACTTCACCACAGCGGGGTTATCACAATAAAAAAAAAAATATTCACTACTCCAAATCTTGGAAAAATATTAAAATGAAGTCCAAGTTAAGTGGTTATTCAGTTTCCATTATGTTCATTATTTGATATCTATATTTCGTAGATGGCAAAAAAAAAATGTATACAGGTACCCTAATGTGTACCTAGATACAAGATAAAAATCATACTTATTGGTGTTTGAATGGTAACCTTAATGCATTAGTCTGGGTAAAATCTGTTAATGTTCCCAGATATTTGAAAGCCAATATGCATAATAAAATCAATATTTATCCTTTAAAGCCATCCAATCAATATTTAATTGTCTGTTGTCGCAAAATCAGTCTATTGTGCATCTAAAAACTATCTTGCCGGATCCCCAGATTTTTTTAATTCAAGAAAAAAACAAACCTCTGTTTTGTTCCATATACTTATAACTCATAGTTATCTCTAAGCAGAATGTGTGTATTTACCACACATGCCAAATGCAGCCTGCTATTTCAGCATATAAGGTAAAGTTCAGCCTTCATGAACATGCATTGTATTCAAGTTCAAGAGGTTCTCCAACATTTCTTCCTCCCTGCAAAACATTAGCATGTTGAACTTCCTTAGGAAAATAGGAACAGTACTTTTAAGTGACATGGACAAAGCCACAGACCGGAAACAGGAATATTGATAAACTATTATGGATAAAACCTGGAGATTTATTACCAACACAAATAAGTTAAACAAAGATTCAGGCCAAATGACAACTGCTATATGCACGGTTTAGTTCATATGTAACAGTGACATCTAGCAAAGTAGGGAAAGTGAACATTTCCAGATAATTAAAAAAGCAATTCCAGACAACAAACAAAACCAATCTGCTAATACTTGCCAGCAAATATGGTCACAGTATTAAAATACTAAACTACATGAGAGAAATAAGGGGCTGACATTGCTGAACTCATTGTGAGCATGCTATTGGCTTGATTGTTACGCTCTTCCTTTGAAATTAATGCTTTCTAAGCCACTAACCTGGTTCAATTATATAGATCACAAAATTCAGAGGTCTTCATCAGCACACTTCTCCTGAGTATTAAAGCTACAGTATCAGTATGGCAGCCAGGCAACTAACATTTTTAAGAGGGAGGTCTGTAATTGAGGCACCTGTATATTTCTTATGGCAGGTGTGCTTTAATCTGGGTTTTCTGTAATCTGTTGCAGGCAGATTTGATACAGTTCACATGTGGGAAGAGTGAATCTGGGTAGCATTACAAACTGATAAAGGGGAGTGATGTGGGCCAATACATTATACTTATGTCTTGATAAAAAATTAAAGCCTCATCAGAAAAGGGGGGTGGGTGGCTACTTTTGTACCCCATGGTCCCTGTGTGTGTTGTAAAGCTCGCTCCCGTGATGGACTACATTCACATGCTTAGTTTACTAATTGGATTGAGATTGTAGTCCATCACGAAAGAGTGAGCTTGGAGCGATGACTACTTTACAACACACATCGGGAACATAGGGAACAAAAAGTAACCCCTCTCCAGAAGACAAATTAAAGTGAACAGACAAAGACACTTTCGTATATCCGATGCTACTAATGTGGATTTTATATTATAATACTGGTGGTGCAGTATAGTGCATGTCAACATAACTTTAATCTATAGCAGACTAACCTGAGGAGAATAAACAAAAGTTATTTTTCCAAATGGATTCACAGGACTATCAAATGTTGCTCTTTCAGATAAGAAAGGTAAAGAAGAACTCTGGGCAAATCAAATCTGAACCCTTGCACTGGGGCTACCACTACACTGCAAGGGTCAAGTGCTTATTTTGTCTAGGGAGCTAAAATAACAGTTCTACTCACCCAAACCGTGATTCCCGCTGGCTCCTACACCGCTCCTGCGATGGTTTGTCCTTTAGCGTCCTCACGTTCTATACACTGTATAGAATGTGATGACTCACTGGGCCTTAGACAGCTGGAGCGGAGGGGGAGCGAGGCTGAAGAGACTGGTATAAGAGCAAGTCCGGATGGTGGTTTGGGTGAGCATAACTTTATTTTAGCTTCCTAGACTAGATGAGTACTTAAACATTGCAGTGCGAGGGTAGCCCCACTGCAAGGGTAAAGATTTTATTTGCCTGGAGTTTTGCTTTAAAGTGTATGCAAGAGCAAAATAAAACAAATATGCAGTAGATCTGTGCAATAAATGTACATTTACCCTTGTTTTGTCCCTATAAAGGCCCTGCAAGTACATAATGCATAGCATTTCTGTGGACTGAGTAGTGTCAGTAATAGTGGTCTTTTGCTAAACTACTTAAACCCACCTACTCTCCTCATATCTACAATACAGACAGGAATTAATTTGTAGTCCAAGAACTAAAAGGGCCAATTAGACTCCTTGATAGAACAGGAAGTGTGCACAGTACAGCTCTGAATGTCTGACATTTTCTGACAACAGTTTTGTTTTTTTTGCAATTTGTGAACAGATAACAAAAACGGTAATTGCTAGGATTTACATAGCCTTTATTCATAGACATTAGAACAAAGAAGGGAAGACCGATCATGAGCAGAATTTAATGGTCCCTTTACCCTTTAAAGAATGAGTTGGTTATTGTAGGTCAGCCATGTGTAGAGAGAATATTATCTCTAAAACATGAAAGTCTGACCTTGTTTGTACTGTATAAACACACTGAAGCCTACTTTCCTTTAAGGTACTGAGATTTTTTTTTTTTTTTTTACTAGTATCTTAACCCCTTTACTTATCCACAGGAAACAGATGATGATTCTTTCCTTTCCTGCATCAAAAAACTGATGACAACACCATCGCCCTATCAATGCCAGATGGCAGCCATCAGACTCTATAAAAACAACCAAGCGCCACTTCTGGACATATGCCCATTGCAACAATTCCTTTTATTACAAGCTGGAAATGGCAGGATTTGTGGGGATTTATTAATGCTCTAACACAAAAAAATATTATGAAAGGGTCTCTAGAACATGTCAAATCCAGAATTCTGTCAGGAAAAATATGTGCAGCTGATATGCTGTCACTCCATGAAAATATTATACATGTCAAAGTGGTACCATGATTCAGTCTTATTAACTGGGCACCTAATTCGCAGCAGTACTTTAATCGCAGTTTTACCACCTATTTAATACAACACATCATAAAGAAGCTGTAATGGATTTGGGAAGCACAGTGGCCAAAGTGTAAGAAAAAGCAAAAATATTCATATGGTTCTATAAAAACACAAAAGACGTGCATATGGCTATTGCGGTTCACAACTTGGGCCTTAAAGAAGAACGCTAGGCAGAAATGTTATTAAGGGTTAACTGCTTGTTTTTGCCTAGAGTCCAAAATTTAAAAAAAATTAAAAAAAGTTACACTCACCTGAACCTCTGAGCTGGCAGCTCTGCCTTCAGCACGTCTCCTTCTCCGCTGCAGAGATGTTATGTGCCTTAGCGCCCGCACTGTATTGGACATGACTCAAAGATTCCTATACTGTTGCAGCGGAGGAGAGACACTCTAGGGACCAATGTAAGAGGCTGCCGGCACGGAGGTTTAGGCAAGTATAATTTTTTTTTTACCCTAGCCAAAAACGAGCAGTTAACCTTTGTAAATGGGGTTAATACAATTTCTGTCTGGAGTTCTTCTTTAAGTGAATAATACAAAGAGTAATGTTCAATCTGCCGCCCGTAGCAATAATATATTTCCATGATCTGATAACACTGTTCTACTGAAAGCAGAAGTTTGATTGGCAACTGGGAGATAATATACAGTAGGTCATTGTACATTATACTGTTTAAAGCAAGTTTTTTAAAATATATGATACCCCACTGTGCAATGGGTAAGGGATGTGAGATGCATGGGTTTCTTTCACAAGTTCTTTTGATCATGATAGGGAAAGTAGTAGTACTTTTGAATAAGCCAGGGCTAGACAAATCCCAGGAGCCAGTTAGTCAATGCAAACCTAGCAAGCCTTTGCTGGCATCATAGTTGACATGGAGATCTCTGTCTGCAGCACACATCACATGTGAGGGAGTATGGGTAGGGCTACCACTCATTACATGAGCGTCTCCCCCTTAATATAGATATTATA